TTTACAGTTATTCCTTTTTCCATAAATGTTTATTTATCATTCTTTTTCTTTATTTGTATCTTTATTTTAATTTTATGGAGTGAATACATTTATATATATATACTATATAATCTTTAATAAAAGCATACTATTTTTGTAGTATTTGACTTACGAAATAAGAATTATTAAATTAAATTGTAGTTAAACTTTTCAGTTAAAATTATTTTAAAACATTTTTCCTTTTTTGAAATAAATTATTTATACACAATTCGTAATTTAATAATAATGTAATATGAAAATAAATAATAACAATAATATATAATTAAATAAATTAATTGTCAGCCTTTGAACAAGCTGACATTGAAAGGCCCAAAAATGTGCGCAGATCTGAAAGATTGTCAAAAAACAGAAGCAAAATTACAACGAAGATGCATTTAAGTAAATATTAATGATTGAATGTATTATTTTAAAATTTGTAATGTTTGTTATTTATTATAAAATGATTTAATTTATTGCTTAATTTCTGTTTAAATTAACTAAAAAATGATTAAAAGTGTTATAATATTTAGAATAATTAATGAAATTAAACAGAATTAATTTTCATTACTTTTAGTATTGTTTTTAATGCAGTTATTCCCTTTTTCCTCAAAGCTTTGCAGCTATTCCCTTTTTCCTTATTTTAACCATTTATTTGATAATTTAACATTGCTCGTAAATTCAAATATTACAGATTACTATATTTATTATCTTGTCTGATGAAAGTATAAGTATCAAAGATACGAAATTTAGTATTATCTCGATTTTGACAAAAATTGCAGTTATTCCCTTTTTCCTTATCACCACAGAATTGTTGTTAATCTGAAAAAAATGTAATATTAGGAGTACGGTCAATGGACCTTACTCCTCTCATGTTATTAAAATTGTATGTAAGTTTGCAATTTATTTTTCAATATTCAAATTATTTTTTCTGGATTTATCAATTTAATCCAGAAATGGAACGGCAGTCATCAGTGTGGGTCTTTTCAGATGAAAATCCTCCAACGAAAGTGAGAAAACCCAGAAGCGTTGGCAAAATGATGATTTGTTCTTTCTTCTCTGCCAGTGGCCATATTGTGACAGTGCCACTCGAGGAACAAAAGACAGTCACTGCAAGATGGTACACTACAATTTGCTTGCCCAGATTGTTTGAAGAGCTGAGAAAGAACCGTCCAAAATCTGGTGTGCGTGGAATCCTGCTTCACCATGACAACGCATCATCCCACACAGCCAGAGCAATAACTGAATTTCTGACAGAATCAAGGGTTAAAACACTCTCTCACCCACCCTACAGTCCAGATCTGGCCCCGTGTGACTTTCTTCTTTTCCCTTATGTGAAAGAAAAAACCAAGGTCATCGTTTCGAGTCAGCTCAGGCTGCAGTGACTGCATATGAAGATCAGATTCTCAGTATCTCTAAAGAAGTGTGGCGATCGTCATTTGATAATTGGTTTAATCGGATGAAACGTTGCATAGAGTGGTGGAGAGTACTTCGAGAAGATGTGAAGGTAAGAACTTATTATCTCGACTTTAAATATAGTATTCTCAAAATATTTGGATTGACCCTCGTATCCTACCATTGGGTGTTGGGAAGCTTTGAACGGGAATATAACATTATCAGCTACTACGATTCATTCGTAAGTTCAATGCCTGATACTGAAAGAACATATTTGAACAAAGCTGGGCATGAAAGAAATTTTCAACACATGAAACTATTTTTATAACAGTTTACAGCGTCGGCGACGCCACATTTTACTAGTATTAAATAACTTCAAAACACTTGGCGGTGCCAGAGGTTTTCCCTCTGTATACTTTCTGGGGCTTTCTTCACATTCAATACTTGTAACAGAGTTAACATATGAATTTTACATAAACTTCGGTGTTGTATCCTTGATTTTTATTGGATTGCTAAAGGTATAGAAAAACACTGCACCATCCGATTCGTTTCATGGTTTTATTTGAACTAAAATTAAACTGTACAAGTTGCGTCAGGTAGGAAAACAAACTAGCATCACCGTTATAATAAAATGGAGAGTCAAGGCTCAGCTCCGAGATGGTGCCACTGTGCACCAATGAATATGAAGAGATAATGCCAATGCATGTCCACATGTTTTTTTTTTTTTGTCATGACACTCGGTTTTTATGATTATTATTTTTAATGTAAATGGTTCAAATTTTAATAAAATACTGTAATTAGGATGGGGTAATTGCGTACCATTTTCAGCAAAATTTAGCTTTTTTCGGTTTCTAGTGAATCTACGTTCTCTAAAAAATACATTTTGCTTAATTCACAATTTAGGACTATTCTTCTAGATTGTAAATCACCAGATTGACGTTTGAAAACAATTTTTTATGGTTTTATCAGTTTCTTGAAACCACTTCTGAGGTACACATTTACCCCAGACTGTGGGGCAAATTTGTATTGTGCTTGGGATACCTGTACGACATAAAGTTTCTTGAAAACTCAAACATTTTCTGTGAAAAAATCTCAAAATTACGCAGTTTTAGAAACACATAAAAGCTATTTTCTCAAAAATAACAAACAACGGCTTAAATGTTTTCTTCAAACTTTTCGTACTTCAGACTCAAGTTTTTTAGAAAAAAGAGCTTCAAATTTAGCACATACAGGGTGGCTTAAACGTAATTTTAAACTGCTCAAAATTGTTGAACGAAGATTTCCATTTATGACGAGGTTTTACTCTTCTATAATATTATTTAAGTAATGTTTTGGTACTATCATTAGCAAATAGGAAAGTTCAGAAAAATTATACAAGAAAAGTACTTTGGGCGGCGATAGATGGCATCTGGCAGGCGGATAGGGCAAGATCAAAAAGCTAGGAGACCAAAGATATTAGAAAACCAACTAGGACGAGAAAGTCTTTGCCATTCTGTAGCACCACTAGTTGTAAATGAGTCCGCACCATGAGTTGTAAATTTTCCCCCTTCACCCTAAATTTTACACAAACATTAAACCACCACAAATTGAAATATATCAACAACGAACGGTTTCTGTACGCCAAAGTTGCATGGATTGAAATACATAAACTCAATTAATACATGACGCTGAGAACTGCATATGCTCCACATACGGATATATCATGTAAACGTTTTATTTTCCTTTTTAACAATTTATTAATTAGAGTTCCAAGAAACAGTGAACAATGTTGTTACAGAAATTTAATTTTATTGTTTTACAATTATAATTAAAAATGTTAATCTTACGCCTTGCTACTGACCTCTCTCGAATCTATTAGCTACCAGATCTGCTGCTATAACTCGCACTTATTTTTACCAAACTTTGCGCCAATAGTAAAGAAGAGCTTGTTAAAATTGCATATGAATCCATACTATCCTTACCATTTATTTTAAAACGTATCAACGAACGTAAAACCAGCACCATTCGAAGTCATTCAAAATACTCGTATATTAACCTAATTAATATTAATATGTATTAACCTAATTAATATGTTAACGTCAACGTCAGCATACAGCTCGGTCAGAGCTCGGAGTCGGAACTGCTTAAGATCTGAATTGCATGTATTGAATAAATACATCAATGATACAAGCACTGTAATTTAAGTTTGACGACTGCACGCACTACACTTACGGTATATTACAAACACTCCTACAGTGTGTACGTATTTAATTTATTTTGTTTGCTAACAACTTGAAAGAAACAATTAACAATAATGTCACAAAACACTTCTTTCAAAATTATTTTTATAGAGAAAACATTCAGTGGTGCTAATTTTGAATGTGAATAAAATGATGCACACACAATTTGTCACATAAATAAAAAGAATGTATTTTTCTGCTAAAAAAACAACTTAATTTAATAATTCTGTAATTTCCCAAAGATTTCCAAAATTTTACATTTCGTTCTTGTAATTGAAATAATTGAGACTACCTTAAACATTTTGTAATGTATGCTTAAAACAGAGGCCTTCAATCTTTTTAAAAACTAAACACCCTTTTTCTTTTTTGTGAAACACTAATAGTATTTCATATTTTTCTTAAGATTTGGAGTTTTCGTGTGATTAGTTGTTAAGTACGTATATTAACTGATTCATAGAATCAGCCTTGATATTTGGAAAATATGAGCTGGAACATTTCTCTCCCTAGAGGCTAAAATTATTCTATAATTTTGAGAATTGTTTCATATTTTTATGAGGTTTTTGCGTTTTCGTGTTTACTAGATCATAAGATCTTATGTTAATTCTTTCTTGATATGTACACCTGCTTTCTTGGAGAAAATGAACTGGAACACTACTTTTCTTGGAGCCTACAATTATACTTCAATTTTTCATAATTTGTCTGAGGTTTTTGTGTTTTTGTATTTATTAGTACATCCTAACGTATGTTAACTGTTTTTTTGTTCATTCTTGATTATTGGAAAATATGGCCTGGAACAATTTTTTCCCTACTCTAAAATCAGCCTTTAATCATGGATGCTTTTTCCTTATCTTGGAGTAATGGGAAATTGTATTTCTTAGGTGAGCTTCAGACCTAAGTTAGCAGTGCCCATGAATTTGGGAAACCAAAAGGAGTCTAAAATACGGGAATACAGCATTTAATTAGACTTTAATTGTGGATATGGTTTGGTTTTTGGGTGCAGGTATAATAGCTTTAGATAACTCACTTACGTGCTTACTGGCCGCTTGGAGGCGCTGGTGGCGCCTCCAAATCGTAGTTTGGCACGCCGCCCTTGTGAGAGCAGCACTAAATGACTATAACTTTGGTCGCGAGAATTAACTTTCAGCATACCGACCCTAAGTTTTTAGTTTCGTGTGTTGTCGTCATGATTTTAGGAAACAAATTTGCGTCGTACAAGGAATTGTAGAACTTCTATGAACGTGAAAACCGGGCAAAGCGTCATCTGTTTGGTTACTGTAATTTGTGTGAGTAACAATATTGAGATGCTGTGGAATGTATTTTTAACAGACAAAATGATTGGAAATTGAAGGATTTTTTTTTCATGTTCTCAGCAACATCTGTGTCATCATGAGTCAGTTTTCCCTTGGATCTGGCGATCCTGGAGCAGCGAGGACTACAGAGCCTCAACAGAACGTCTCTCTTGGAGGTAGTCCGAAATTTTCTTTAACAGCTACACCTGCGTCAACTACTGTTACTTCAGGAACACCAGCTACTACATCTAGTCCAATTTTTGGAGTGGGACGTAATTTTTCCCTACCTGCAGCCAGCAGTTTTCCTGTTTCAAGCACTACCTCCACTGCACCTAGCACTACTTTTACTGCTCCCTGCGCCACCTACTCGACGCCAAGTACTACAAGAAGTTATCCTACCGCTACCTCTGCTCCAACAACAACTGGTCAGACATCTTTAGCAGCACCCACTAGTGTGACTAACTCATCTGCTGCAAGTGCATCATCCCCCAGTTTTTGCCAATTAGAAGAAGCGATTAGTAAATAGACTTTGAAAATGGAGGAACAAGAGAAATTATTCATGAACCAAGCTTTTCAGGTCAATGCATGGGATCGTTTACTTATACCCCATGGAGAAAAGATAATTAACTTGAAAAATGCTGTAGAGCATGTCAAATGAGTACAGCAGCAATTGGATCATGAATTGGACTTCATTCTAGGTCAGCAGAAGGTGTTAGAAGATATACGTACACCTCTCAAAAAAGAGCTGGAAACAAACAGTGTCTCAGACCCAGAACGTGAACATACTGACGAACTAGCAGAGAACCTGTACACTCAGTTGGAGCAGATGACTGATGATCTGAAGGAGATTGTGGAGCATGTTAACGAGACAAACCGATTCCAGGATAATACTGATCCCATTGTCCACATTCTTAATGCTCACATGAATTCATGACAATAGATTGGTCACATCATACCTCTCATCAGATCTCATTTAGACCAAGTTGCTAAATATCATCAAGTGAACCGCCGAGAGAATAAGATATCATTCCGTCTGACATGATTAACTCATTCACTACATTATGATCCAACTTCTCAGCTCATCATTGCCATTTTCAGTATAAGTTATTGTTTGTATTGCTAAAGACATTAGAGAATTAAACTAGAACATTTCTTAATTTAATTGTTTGTTTTTTGTGTGTAATTTTTGTAGTGTGCATCAAGTACTTCACAAACACTAAGCTAATGAGGTTCAAATGTTCTTTTACTGTGTGTTATAATGACAGACTCAAATAAATGTGATTTTCAAGAATTGTTTGTTAATATTTATGAAAGACCACTCAATTCGGTTTTTATGGTTTTTAAAATGAAGAAACTTTTGTAGATGGTTGTAGTCTTGCCAAGCCTTATAGTGTTATATTGATGGTCTCCGTACTCCTTGGAGGTTCTCCTAGTACTTTCCTTAAGGAAAGGAAGCCTGTTCTGCAATTCCTGAATCAAGTACTCTTCAGCCATATGTATTTCATCAGACTCCAGAAGAACAGCATCCACTGATTCTGAAATCTTTTTAGTTAATCTGTGGACAACATCATGGATTCTAATTTGAGTCCCTACAATAAAAGAAATAAGCTTAGGGAATGTGTAACATATTTGTATGTTGATATGATCATAGCTCTAAAAGATATTGTTATTACAATACTGACATGTTTAATTTTGAAGTGCCGTGTGTCAGAACAGTAATGTTTTGTTAGAAAAGATATAAGATGCAAATTTTTATTTGTCTTGAAATTTGAAAACCACATTTTGTGTAGGTGCATAGTAATCAGGGACAGTGACTATTTCATGATGGTTTTTTGGATATGTAAAATTTTATTTTCGTCTTGCAGTGACAATTTCAACTTTGTTTCTAAAAACAGTTATTATTCTAATGAGAGGATTTCTAATATTAAGGGGAGTATGTATTAAGGAGCATATGCAAAGCAGTTGCACATATTCACAAATCTTGAAAAATCAAACTTATTGCATATATTTTATAGTGCATACAAGGTCCTAACAGAATGGTTTATGCATATATTCATCTCATTTTTCACCTACAACTGCAATGTGCATTTCATTTTTACGATTTGATTTATAATATTTTATTTTTGAATTAGTGTCACACCCAAATACAGGCTTCTTGATTATCGTTGCTGATGTAGCTGATTGGTATACATTAGTGATCATAAGTGGGTGGATTTTGATGATGTAAAACATTGCCAAAAAGGATGAATAAAATGCTCTTAAAATGTTTTTAAAATGATATAAAAGCAGAAAAATTGATGTTAAAATTGAAAAGAAATACACTTCAGATGAACAACTCAAGCCGAATATGTTACTGATGTAATAGAGGCTTCTATTCATTCAAATGCATTCAGGAAGCAAACTACTGTTTTGGAGTGTTCTTTACCAGCAAATCTCTCTCTTATGTTACCCTGAAATCGGCCGAACTGTCAATGGTGCTGATAGGCATCACAGAAACCTTAGATTACATTCAATCGCTGACCTAACGATTTCTGAGCGAAGAAATCTATAATATTACTCAGGAATTCTGTGGAGAAAATATGTTGCATCTTGTATATATTATTTGTAGCAACTACCTTTAAAATAATAATAATTTCAATGGCATCCGAAAAATGTGTTAAAAATGATGGAAAAAAGAAAAAAAATTAGATGAAATCGACTAAAAATACAAAAAAAAAGAAAAAAAATGATGGGTCATTTCCTTTTTTCATAACATAAGTTTTTATACTAAACAACATTGTCCTAAAGTGAAAAAAAAAATTAAAAAACGACATTTCATTAAAATCCGCTCCCTAGCTCCATCAGCAAAGTTATAAAAGTTATTTTTCTAGATGAAACACTCAGGGGCGCTAATTTTTTCTCTACCTCATTTTCAAAAACTGTTTTAGACTGTTGTGTCTTGGTTAGGATTTCTGAGCATTATGATTATAAACAATTTAAATCCATAGTATGATGTGTTTTAAATCTTTGGTAGTTTTAATTGTCACACAGTATTATTCTACAAAAGTTTTCTCTTTCTATTTCCAATGCATATTTTAAAACCAGTTATTTTAAAAATCTGTATTGCTAGGCTTGAATTTTTTGATATTACATGCTTTTAAAGATAAGGAGTAACTGTTGGGTGAAAATAATATTCAATTGCTGTTGAATGTATTTAAGTAACTAAACACAAAAAAAATTATATTTTGCTAAATTGTAATTATTAGATAAAGGGATATTTAAATGACAGAAAACTGACCCCCCCCCCCCCTCCTCAAAAGCAACTTGCCATGTGTTCTGCAGAATGCTGACTGGCTATAGAGCTTTCTATGTATCATTGCAGTTGGGGTTTCTAAAACAGGTTTTTTTTATACCTCTTTGGAAATTGAAAAGGCTGCTAAGCTGATGTTTTGATACAAAAATACAAACCCTAAGAATAATCTTTAAAAGTTCATACATGTTATTCTTAATTTTATTCATAGTTTTTTGAAACCATAATCTGAATAAAATGTTTAGCTTCAAATCTGTTGGTTTTCCCCCTCTGCATATGTGAATATGTTTGATAATTTCATTAATCTCAGAAAATAACTACTGAAAATGGCATAAATATATTTGGGGGTTTTCAATTTGACGTATCGGGCATATATAGTACTTTTCTGAAGGTCTGTCTTGTTGCATAGGATCAGTTAGTGGATGTTTTATTTTGGATGGAACATTTTATTTTAAATTTATAGAATTTTTGTGCTCGGATAAAAAAAGTGTTGATTACATAGAGGAAAAAAGGTTGGACCCAATAAAAAAATTGGCGGTCAAGTTGTTGTTGGTAAACCAAATTTTGAGGGGTGTGAGAAGGAAAAGGTGGTTTCTATAGATGAATGAGTCATTCTAAACGGGCAGTTTTGAAGCTTCTAACAGCCCTACTAATATAAAACCTTGGCGTGAGTTCGTTAAAACACCCTTATTCCGGGAATAGTTACTTCTAGCGTAATTTCGGAATAAAGATGGATTACATTTTTTACCAATAATGACCGCTAAATCATAGCTTACCTAGTCCTTGTTAAATACTGAACCAATGCTTGGCAACGTTGCTTCATACACCATCGTCGGCGTATTCCCTTTATTCTTTGGTGCCTGTGTAAGGTCTTCGCTGATATTTGAACAGAATATTTCGCATTTTATCCTGAATTGTGTGAATGCCTTAGTAGTTGGTGGACTCATACAGCTCTAATAATAAAAGCTTGGTGTAACTTTGTTTACACCAACCACCTTTGTAACATGCTTATTCCAGGAATAGTTACTTCGAGCGTAAGTTCGGAAATAGGATGGATTAAATTTTGACCAATAATGGCCGCTAAACCGTAGCTTAACCAGTCCTTGTTAAATACGGAATCAATGCTTGGCAACGTTGCTTCATACACCATCGATAGCGTATTTACTTTATTCTTTGGTGTCTCTGTAAAAACTTACCGGGAAGTTCGCGTTGTGTTGGAATAGAATATTTTGCATTTTTTCCCGAATTGTGTGATTGCATTGGTAGTTAGTGTACTCATATTGAAGAACGAATTGTTTTCAAATTACGATTGATTTGAATGTTGGTGACAATTAAAAAAAAAATTAAATTAATGACCAAAAGCGCGTGTGCAAGAAAAGGATAGATAAATGCTTGCCGAAAGAACAGTTTAAAAATGAAATTTGACGAATATCTTGAGGAAAAGATTTGAATTCGGTGAAATAAGTAAACTTTCAGAAATGCATTTTGAGCCCCTTTTTATCTTTTTAAATGAGAAATAACTGTGAACATTTTAAAAATTTGATTGTAATTCCGAATAATAATAGAAAAATCCCACAAAACACATGCTATAGAACTTAAAATTGATTCTTTTAAATCTTTTATTCATCTCAAAACAATGTTATAATTTATTTTTTCACATGCATCTAAAAATTATTTACCAAATCCTAAAATACAGTAGTGTTTCATTAAGAACTTCATTTCCCATCCTCTTTAATTTAAATAATTATTTCCCCCCGTTTCCAATTCACTGCTTTTTAAACAATGGTATTTATTCAAATATAGTTAATAAGTTATTCTTTTAAATTGTGGGTAATATTATTTTCCTTCAAATTATCTGCTGGCATCTTCCCATATATAATTATTGTAAACAAAGTTAAAATACCTGGAAATTTTGATGATGTAAATGAATGAATAATAGGAAAATAAATATAAAAAAAGAAGAAGTATATCCTAACTTGATTGGAGAATTTTAATATGATTATTGAACTATAATTATGAGAGAAGAAGAAATCTTCCATTCAACTTTATTACCAGTTTAAACTGCAGCTTTAATTCATTTTACTCATATGCCATTAGGAACACTTCATTCTGATACAAGAATAGAATGTTCAAATTTATAATTGAACAATATTACTGTTTGTGAACTAATTTATACTGAATTGATACCATTTTATTTAATCCCACTGATATAAATTATTAAAAGTTAAACTGTTCAAAGCAAGCCAACATCAAGTTGAATTTTCCCTTTCTCACAAAAAATAAATTCTTTTCCATTTTTGTTGACTTATAAGTATTTGAAATTGTGTGTAAATACTAGTGAGTGAATGAAATTAATTTCTGACCTGTGTTAGAAGATTTATCGTCTCAAGAATATCTATTTTTTATTCATTTAATTTCTGAACCTATACCCTCCGAAACGTAATATAAAAAAATTAATCACTGAAATTCTTTCTTACATTCTTTCACTTAAAAGAATATAATAAAACAGTTTTGCCTTTTCTTATTATATTATATCTTAAATGTAGGCAACAACTTAAAACAGTATGCTAATATACCCCAATATGAACATTATTTTTTCTATTTTAGGACAGTAGTTAATGAATTCAAATACTCATTTACATGAAGATTGTTTACTAACAACCAACTTTGATACTGACATGTTCATGACTATTGCCTGCCAAATTCACATTAAAACATTATGACTATTTGTTTTTATTATTCAGATACTGTCCTAAAAGATTTGTTAGAACTTCAAATCTATGAATTTGAGTTCATAATAAACCAATCTTTTAGTCCAATATCTGGGAAAGACAATATTTGTAACGTTCCCCCCCCCACATTTTTTTATGTGAATTTAGTATGTAACTTTTAGTTATCAAATATTGGTTAAAAAAATAATATTATGTACATGTATTTGGATACAATTAATCCTTTGTGTGAAGTTGTAGAGAAGGAACAGCAGAATGACGGTTGGCATAACATTTTTTAAATTTATGTTGAATACTAATTCACTTCTTTCTTATATTTTTACTAGAGGTAATTTCTTTTTCTGTGCTTTCCTAGAGATTATTGATGTTGCAGCGAGGGATGATCTCTGACGATAAATCAAAAGGGGCAAGTTCTTGTGGTTTTTGTAGAAAAACTAGTAAATTCAGATTTAAAAGAAACTAGTAGTATGGAAATTAATTTTAAAATCTGACTTTTGAAAGCTACGGCGCTGCAGAATTTCTTAAGTCTGTTCTGAGCATTGAAAACAACTTTTCAATATAACGAACATCTTTAAACAGTACTTTTTTCTTGTTTTTCATATTTTTTATGGGGACAGATAAATTATTTATTGAGGTAAAAGTAGATTCCACCAAAAATCTGCCGTGAAATTTCTCATCATCAGTCTTTGTTGTAATGTTAAATCATTGAAAATATGAAAAATATGTGTCATGTCATTTTATTTATTTCATTGTTCAGCGAAAACACTATTTACTTTATTAAAATAAAACAATGCATATCCTTTATTTTCTATACAGCACGTGATATGATAGGCATGTTTAAGGATCAAAAATACTTATAATAGACATTTATCACTATGGACCAATTAGGGATATGGTTGCCTACTGTTAATGACACCCTTCAATTGATTTGGAGATATCCTGTTGATTAGTCGATAAGAATTAACCGTTATTATTTGTACAACCCTGATTTTTGGAATATATGCGCTGAAACAACTTTCTCCCTAGAGCCTAAAATTATTCTATAATTTTGAGAATTGTTTCATATATTTATGAGGTTTTTGAATTTTCGTGTTTACTAGATCATAAAATCCTATGTTAATTCTTACTCGATGTGAACACCTGATTTCTTGGAGAAAATGCACTGGAACACTACTTTTCTTGGAGCCTACAATTATACTTCAATTTTTCATAATTTGTCTGAGGTTTTTGTGTTTTTGTATTTATTAGTACATCCTAACGTATGTTAACTGATTTTATTTGTTCATTCTTGATTATAGGAAAATATGGCCTGGAACAATTTTTTTCCTACTCTAAAATCAGCCTTTAATCATGGATGCTTTTTCCTTATCTTGGAGTAATGGGAAATTGTATTTCTTAGGTGAGCTTCAGACCTAAGTTAGCAGTGCCCATGAATTTGGGAAACCCAAAGGAGTCTAAAATACGGGAATACAACATTTAATTAGACTTTAATTGTGGATACGGTTTGGTTTTTGGGTGCAGGTATAATAGCTTTAGATAGCTCACTTACGTGCTTACTGGCCGCTTGGAGGCGCTGGTGGCGCCTCCAAATCGTAGTTTGGCACGCCGCCCTTGTGAGAGCAGCACTAAATGACTATAACTTTGGTCGCGAGAATTAACTTGTAGCATACCGATCCTACGTTTTTAGTTTCGTGTGTTGTCGTCATGATTTTAGGAAACAAATTTGCGTAGTACAAGTGATTGTAGAACTTCTATGAATGTGAAAACCGGGCGAAGCGTCATCTGTTTGGATACTGTAATTTGTGTGAGTAACGATATTGAGTTGCCGTGGAATGTGTTTGTAATAGACAAATGATTCAAAATTAATGGAGTTTTTTTTATGCTCTCAGCAACATCTGTATCATCATGAGTCAGTTTTCCCTTGGAGCAGGCGATCCTGGAGCAGCGAGGACTTCACAGCCTCAACCGAACTTCTCTCTTGGAGGTAGTCCGAAATTTTCTTTAACAGCTACACCTGCGTCAGCTACTGTTACTTCAGGAACACCAGCTACTACATCTGGTCCAGTTTTTGGATTGGGAAGTAATTTTTCCCTACCTGCAGTTAGCAGTTTTCCTGCCTCAAGCACAACCTTCACTGCACCTAGCTCTACTTTTGCTGCTCCCAGCACTACCTTCTCTACCCCTAGTACTACAACAAGTTTTTCTACTCCTAACTCCACCTTCCCTGCACCCACTACTACTTTCGCAGCACCCAGTACTACTTTCTCAGCACCCAGTACTACATTCTCAGCACCCAGTACAACTTTCTCAGCACCCAGTACAACGTTTTCAGCACCCAGTACTACTTTCTCGGCTCCCAGCACACAGCTTGCAGCATCTAGCACTACTTTCCAAACACCTAGCACTACTTTTCCAACATCTAGTACTACCTTTTCCACTCCCAGCACTGCCTTCTCAACTTCAACCACTACCTTCCCCGCATCTCTAACCTCAACATCTGCTCTTGCTGCTCCTTCCGCTGCAACAACTGGTCAGACAACTTTAGCAACATCCACTAGTGTGACTAACTCGTCTGCTGCAAGTGCATCATCTCTCAATTTTTGCCAATTAGAAGAAGCAATTAATAAATGGACTTTAGAATTGGAGGAACAAGAGAAATTGTTCATGAACCAAGCTTCACAGGTCAATACATGGGATCGTTTGCTTATAGCCAATGGAGAAAAGATAATTAACTTGAATAATGCTGTAGAGCAAGTCAAATTAGAACAGCAGCAATTGGATCATGAATTGGACTTCATTCTAGGTCAACAGAGGGAGTTAGAAGATCTCCTTACACCTCTTGAAAAAGAGCTGGAAACAAACAGTGTCTCAGATCCGGAACGTGAACATACTTACCAACTAGCTGAGAACCTGGACACTCAGTTGAAGCAGATGTCTGAAGATCTGAAGGAGATTGTAGAACATATTAACGAGACCAACCGATCCCAAGATAATACTGATCCCATTGTTCAAATTGGCCGCATTCTTAACGCTCACATGAATTCCTTACAATGGATTGATCAAAACACAACTCTAATCGGATCTCATTTAGACCAAGTTGCTAAATTGCATGAAGTGCACCGCCGGGAGAATGAGAGATCATTCCGTCTGACTTACGATTAACTCATTCACTACATTATGATCCATTTCCTGCTCATCATTGCCATTTTCAGTATAAGTTATTGGATAAATTGTTTGTATTGCTAAACACATGAAAGAATGAGGTAGAAAATTTCTTAATTTGTTGGTTTTTTTTCTTATGTAATTTTTGTAGTATGTGCATCAATTACTTCACAAAAACTAAGCTAACAAGGCTCAAATGTTCTTTTACTTTTGTGTAATAATGCCAGACTCAAATAAATGTAATTATCAAGAATTGTATGTGGAGTTTTATTATGAAAAATTACTCAATTTGGTGTTTTTGGTTTTCTAAAATGAAGAAACATTTTTAAGTGGTTGTAGTCTTGCCAAGTCTTATAGAGTTATCATATTGATGGTCTCCGTACTCCTTGGAGGTTCTCCTTAGAACTTTCCTTAAGGAAAGGGAGCCTGCTCTGCAATTCCTGAATCAAGTACTCTTCAGCCATATGTATTTCATCAGATTCCAGTAGAACAGCATCCTCCGATTCTGATATTTTTTCAGTTAGTCTGCGTACAACATCATGGATTCTAAGTTGAGTTCCTACAATCAAAGAAATTAGCTAAGAGAATGTGTAACAGGTTTTAAAATATTTGTATGTTGATATAGTCATAACTAAAAGATTTTTTTATTACAATACTGACATGTTTACTTTTGAAGTGATGTGTGTCAGAACAGTAATGTTTTGTTAGAAAAGATATAAGATGCAAATTTTTATTTGTCTTGAAATTTGAAGAATACATTCTGTATAGGTGCATAGTAATCAGACAGTGACTATTTCATGATGGTTTTGGAAATGTAAAATTTATTTTTGTCTTGCAGTGACAATTTCAACTTTGTTTCTAAAAACAGTTATTATTCTAATGAGAGGATTTCTAATATTAAGGGGAGTATTTATTAAGGAGCATATGCAAAGCAGTTGCACATATTCACAAATCTTGAAAAATCAAACCTAATGCATATATTTTATAGTGCATACAAGGTCCTAACAGAATGGTTTATGCATATATTCATCTCATTTTTCACCTACAACTGCCATGTGCATTTCATTTTTACGAATTGATTTACAATATTTTATTTTTGAATTAGTGTCACACCCAAATACAGGCTTCTTGATTATCATTGCTGATGTAGCTGATTGGTATACATTAGTGATCATAAGTGGGTGGATTTTGATGATGTAAAACATTGCCAAAAAGGATGAATAAAATGCTTTTAAAATGTTTTTAAAATGCCATAAAAGCAGAAAAATTGATGTTAAAATTGAGAAGAAATACACTTCAGATGAAAGGCTCAAGCCGAATATGTTACTGTTGTAATAGAGGCTTCTATTCATTCAAATGTATTCAGGGGGCAAACTATTGTTTTGGAGTGTTCTTTACCAGCAAATCTCTTTCTTATGTTACCCTGAAACCGGTCGAACTGTGAATGGTGCTGAATGCTGTTAAAATGGTTTTAAATTGTAATGACAGAAAACTGGCACACCCCCTTCTGAGTCCCACAAAAGCAACTTCTGATGTACTCTCCTGCAGAATGCTGAGTGGCTATAGCACTTTCTATATATCATTACAGTTGAGGTTTTTAAACTTCCCGATTGTTGTTGTTTTTTATGCCTTATTTGGGAATTGATGCCAAGTTGATGTTTTTATACAATTATAAACCCTAAGATTAATCTTTAAAAATTAATCTTTGTTATGCTAATTTTTATGTATAGTTTTTTGAAATTGTAATCTGAATAAAATGTTTAGTTACATATCTGATGTTTTTTTCTCAGACATATATGAATATGTTTCATAATTTATTAAACTCAGAAAATAACTATTGAATGATATGAAAGAATATAAAGAATATTTTAGGGTTTTCGATTTTCCGTATTAGGAATATATAGTACTTTTCTACAGATCCCTTGTTGCACAGGATCAGCTAGTGAATGTTTAGTTCAAACTTTTAATTTTATAGGAATTTCATGTTAAAAAAGAAAAGTTATTTAATCAGATTATTTCAATTTATATCAGATTTTCTTAATTTAAAAAATTCTTTAGTGATTTATTAATCCTTAATTAATTTCAAAGCAAAAAGTTTATTATGTTTTCAAATGTATTATTGAATTTTTATTTTATTAAAAAAATTAAGATACCATGTTTTAGTGGGTTCCGGTGCAATACCGCCCTAACCCACAAAATGTTTAAATTTGAATACTTATAGTTTTGTGCTCTGCTAACACCTCATGTCTACGTTACTAAATAAGAGTGAAGCACCATTTAATTGAAAGATTTAGGAAAACGACATTCTTTATTCAAAGAAATGTTACCATTTATTGTTCAATCTAATCAATATGTCACCCTAATCAAAAAGCACTTATTGTTCGAAACAACTGATTTTATCAAAAAACTTATAACACTGTGTGACAGTTTTAGAAGTACTATATTCCATGGCATAGTTGCCCTAGTTGAACTGAAAAATTAAGGGTATAATGGTTGTTACTTGCGCATTTTGCCATTAACCCTTTAACGGTCATTGGATAGTATGCTCTTCACTTAAAATGGAATTTTATTAACATATTAATAAGGAAAGAGGTTAATATTATTATAACTACTAAGATTAACTACTGTTTTCATTACTTTTAACAATATTAATTTTGTTCTTTAAATGAGTTAATAAAATTTCATTTTTATTAATACTCATCATCTCTAAGGTGAATTTTAAGTGTCTTTAGCACACATTTTAATACAGATGTAGAATTATGGACACTGTTGAAGCTTTCTCTAACTAGCTCTGTAGGTGTTAGGGTGGTATTGCTGCTAAATTAGTTTTATCTACAGACAATTAAATGCTGGATAAAAACTAAACAGTTATCTAAGCATATTAGTGTATAACTCTACTACAAACTGTTTATTGTATTTTTTTTTTAATTGTTCAATTATGTGAACATTTTAAAAATAATATAGTATATTTATATAAAATTTGTAATTAATGTCTTTTTATCTGAGTAATTTTTGTTTTACAAATGTTGAAAATAAAAATATATTTTCAAATATAACAAATAATAAATATTGATTTGTTCTAAATCATGTCTACCTTACATGTTACAATGCTATCTTTCCCAGCATTTATAATTAGAACAGCTAAATTTAAATGAATATACGATTGTCACATCAATATTAATAATGTAAAACAAGTATCCATTTTCTTTTTTGGTAGTTTTTTCAAAAACATTTTTAATATCAGTGTAATAATGACACACTATTTTCTGTGTTATTTACATGCATCATAAGGTGTAAATAAATAATAATTGATATGTTTATGTCTGGAAATAAAAAAAGTCAAACAAATTTTAAGAAATATATTTACGGGTGTTGTCTCTTTTGTTTAATTATAATGGTTTCATGACCGTAATAAAAACAGACCCTAAAATATTTTGTTACAATTTATTTCTTTTTTTGATGTTTCAACTCTAGTTGGGGTCTTTTTCAAAATCTAGGGTCCATGTGTGTTGAAAACACTTTATATTAACAATCAGTTAACATTTTAAGTTAGTCTTTTTTGTGTTACACTAGTTGGGCAGATGATGTTCACAACTGTACGAACTTCACCAGTGTTTTTTATGTCAATGGCAATTTTTTTATTAAAATGCTAACTGATTATTTATTAAGTGTTTTCAACAAACCTGAAACCAATATTTTGAAAAAGACATCAACTAAGATAGAAACATCAAAAAAGTAAATAAATTGTTAAAAAATATTGTTGTGCATGTTTGCATTAAGGGCAGGAAACCATTATAACTAAAAAATTTTCAAAATACTATTTAAAATAAAACAATAAAAAGTAAAATCACACAGAAATCAGAGATAAAATGATGTAAAAAACAAGAACCTATTTTAGTTTATTTTTACACACCTGATGCATGTATCACATAAAACATATCCACATTACATGGACAATGAAAGCTTTTTTGAAAAAATGTTATTTTATTGTCAGGAAAGAAAATGGATTCCTGTGTTAGATTATCTATAATAAGACTTCCAAATTTTATTAAAAAAGAAAACTTTTGTTAATGGAGAGCTGGATGATAACATTTTCAAAGAAATTATGTTAAACTGCAGTAACTGTTACCCAAATATCATCAATTTAAGCAACATGTAGGGCAAATTTGATGTTCCAATTTTATAGAGCATATAGAATTTTAACGTGAATGTTAAATTGTAGATTGTAGTATCGATATTGGAGGCGTTGTGTTGTATCAAAGTGCACAGTTATATTTTTTTGCTCTTGGAAATGGAATCTCAAGTCTTTAACAAAATTAGTCTTTTTGATTATCACAGATGAGCACTATATCTTTGTACAGGAAAATATAAGTTGAAGGGAGAAGAAGAGATCAGAAGGCGGTCATGGTTGTCAAAGCAACACATCTCGCTTATCATTGGAGAGCTTTTTGCTTTTCCAAAGCAGTAGTTCATGTGGATGATGTGCCATTACTTCATTTGCGGACAGAATTTTTTTAAAAGCATTTTCAAAAATTTGTTATTGTGGATTTGTGTATGTACTGAAATGAAATCTTTGAGATCTGTTTTCACAAGTTTAAAACATTTTATTTTATGCATTCAAAATTTTGTGAAGGGATAAAAATCAATAAAAATCACTCAGTTAGGATTGCAGCAAGGATCACTCAGTTAGGATTGTTAGGATTGCAGCAACATCTATATTTTTATTTATTTATTTACCATAGAAATGTTAAAACTTGTGTGTGACATACTATGAGAAGAGGAGTCTTCTGTGTTCCTAAATTCTGGGATCTTTTCCCTAACCCCCATAAAAGTTGAATTATGAATACAATTGGGAATGAGCATTTTTGGCAAAAATTTGTAAGAAAATGTTTGTTTTCTTGTAATAACTAGTGGTGCTACAAATGGCACAGACTTTCCAGTATTTGATTTCTATTTCGTTGGTCTTGGCAAGCTATTCGGACTTGCCACATATTCTTGTCAGCTGCCATCTCTTACCACCCAAAGTACATTTTTTAAAAATATTCTTAATTTTTTGGTTTCTTAAGAGTAGCACAGAAATATTATTTTAAGATTATTAAAAAACAATAAAACTTAGCCGTAAGTGGCAAATGTCTCTAAGAAATTTGGTGCCGTTTTTAAGAGAATGGGGTTTAAGCCCTACTGTAAATTTGAAATTGAAGCTCTTTTTCGCAAAAAACTATTGTGTTCTCGAAAATCTTTAAGTCATTTAAAGCACATTAACTCGCAAATACAATGTTGTTTACAAATTGGTGGAAATGTGCAAATTAACAGTGTTCTGAGATCTTCCAAAAAAATTACATTTGTATAATTTTAGAAAAAACAAAAAAATACCCCAAAACGAATTTTACCTCATATTAAACAGCGCAATTATCACTATCCCTTCGAAAAGTTTAAAGACAAAATTTGGAGCCCTTTTTTTTGTTGAGAAAATGGCGTTCGAGCGTTTCTGAAAATGTGAAATTTTGAGCTAAGTTTTCTAAGAGAAGGCTTGAGTTTTCGAGAAACTTTATATGACGTTATTTAAAGCACTGGTACTTATAAATATAACAATGTGAACAAATCAATATAAACATTAACAACGTGAGAGGCATCAAAAATTAGATTTTGGTAATTTTTGAAAAAAGCAAAAGAATAGAGCAATATGGTGTTCATGTCATTTCATAGAGTACATTTAACACTATCCTTACTAAAAGTTTAAAGAAAAAATTTGGAGCCGTTTTATAGAGATTTTTTTTTTGGTAATGTTTTAAAATTGCAAATATTGCACGAAAACAACAAAAAGTTTCAAAAAATGTACATGCCCTTAATGAAAAAACTAATTATGGGCAGCAAATTTAATTTGAAAGAAAAACCTCTATCTTAAATTTTGTAATTGTAGAAAGACGCCGAAAAAATTCATACTATTGAAATTTTAAAAAATTCAGAGTTAACCGTGAAAATCGGACCTATGCAACTTTTATAAGTGTGTGTTACTCTATTGTTTCAAGAAATTTAAAGAAAAAATTTGAAGCTTTGGTCAAGAAAATTTTGAAAATGTCCAGAGGGCTTCATGTAAAGTACCCCCAAATTTTAAATAATATTTTTCTAAAGCTTCGACTCGAGCCAGGTAGACAGGTGTTTCTTCATTTTGAAAAAAACCTACGCATGGTTTAGGCGCTAGTAGTGTGCACAGACGGAAGTTTTGCCTTCAATTAATTTTTTGGTATCAAGAACCCAAAAAACAGGGATTCTGGATACACCACCTGTTAGTGGATTATTTTCTTAATTTAGTGACTGGATTTACCTACTCTTTCATTATCAGGGCTCCGAAATAAATTTTTTTTGTACCGAAAATCCGCAGTTTTTTTGCGCATCATTATATTACTTACTCTATACTATGTATATTAATTCAGTATATTCGTACGTATACAGAAAGTAAAAACTATTTGCAAAGGAGAAAAACTACAGATTTTGGCTATTATCCCTCATCATGCCCTTCATGAAGGAATCAATTTACTGGCACAAGAACATGGAGAAAGATATGTACTGGAACATGGACAACTTACAGGTGCAAGAATTTGATAACTGAACTCCAAAAAAAGTGCACAGATAGGGAAACTGGAGGAAAAACATCATCAAAATGGCAGAAGATGACATACAATACTTATTACATGCATGAAGGTCTTTTAAAATGATAGTCCAAATGGTAACACCCTAAAATATCAATGTTAAAACCAATATTACTTTCCTTTTTGATGCTTTGTATAGTGTCTGATTGTATAAAAACTGTTATGAAGACTTTAATTGGCACTTAAATTTGTGTGTCAACTTTAATCATTTAATGCCATTGGTAATTTGTTATAAAATAATTATATAAATAATGTATCGATTGTGAACTTTTTGTAGTGAGCTGTTGATATTGATATCTGGTGAATATGATTACTAAATTGAGTGTTTTAGTTGTAGACATCTTTATTCTTCGAAAATATATTCCCAATCTTGAATAAGTCATTTTTGATTAAAAAAAATACTGATATGTAATCAAGAGGCAAGGCAATGAAGAGAGGCTTACAAGAATCAGTGGGTAGGATTTTTACATGATAATACAATAAATTTAATGATATTTAAGGATATTTATTAATAAAATTAGAATATTTATATATATTAGCATATTTATTCTTAATGGTATTATTAAAGGATATTTAAATGATAATACTATTCTGTGATTTTGAATCGCAATGCACATAAAAAATTCATTTTATGTGCCTACTCTGACACAT